GAAATGATGGGGAGAAAAAACATTTGCTAGATACCACTACAGTGACTATATTTCATTTATTTGAGTCCTCCAGGAATGTTTCTCAGTATAAAACTTCCAAGCAACATAACAGATTGATCATCAGCAGGAATCTGGATTTTCCATTTCCCATGGAAAAAATGGAGCAAAACGTGGGTTTTCTCCTTTACCGGAGGAAAAAACAGATTTCTTATTTTAATGGAGAAACCTGAGGATTTTGCAGTTTTACAAAAGCTCTCTGCAGGCTGGCAGAGTTCCAGCCTGCAGGGAGCTGAGAGGGAGCAGAAAGAGGGCGGTCAGGCAGAGGTCACCATGTACATATATATGCATATAGCCACCAAGCAGCCCAGAGAGCAGCTCCCGCAAGTAAGTCTGGCAGGGGAGTGGGGGGATTGAGGCCCCTACAGGGAGGAAGGGAGTGGGTTGACCAGGGCAGGGGCTGGAGCTGCTGCTCAGCTGGGCGGTGGATGAGGCTTGGGGACAAAGGCCACAATGCGTAGCCACAGGACCCTGGCGGGGAGTGGGACAGAGCCATGGGCAGCTTGTCTGGGGGCGGGGGGTGGGGCTAGCTCCCTGCCGCTGTACGCACTCTTGGGGATCAGGAGGGACCAGTGCCCCACAAATCTTGGGCTCCTGCTCTGCTGCCCTCCCCCAGGACCTCCGCAGCCTGGTGTGTGCAACACGAAACAGCAGGACAGAGTAGGGCTGCATGGGGAAGGTGCTTGCCATTGCGAGCTCCATGCTGCCCTGGCGAGGTGTCCCCTGAGCATGCAGCAGCAATAAAGGGAACACCCCTGTGCTGCTACCCCCACTGCTGCTACACAGACAGGGGGCACAGTGCTTACAGCGGCAAGCAGCTTCCCCACGCAGCCCCGCTGTGCCCTGTGCATCAGGTCACATCCACTGGGCTGTGGAGGCCCTGGGGGAGGGCAGAAGGGCAGGAGCCCAAACCTGCAGTGGGAAGCCCATGCCCACCCACCCCCCGCCCCTGTGCACAGATCTGGGGAGCATGCATCCTCCCTGCCCCCCCCTGGAGTGCGCACAGTGGCAGAGATCCAGCCCCCACCACATGCACACAGCAGGCAGATGGCAGGCAGTGTGGGCGGGGAGCCAGGCTCTGCTCCAGTGCAGCATCTGCTGCCTCCTGCTAGGGGTAGGGGGCTGTGGACTGGGTCCTGGCCCCATAGTCCTGGCAGCTGGGGCCCCCCTCTGACGGCTGTGGGGGAGGGGGCAGGGGGAGTGTGGGGCCTTGCATTTTAATCGTAGATTTTGGGGGTTTTAATCAGAGAATTTGTGGTATTTAAGTCAGGGAAAACCAGGTTCCCTGATCATCAGTGCCTTGTGTAATGTAGTTTAGGCCTGGAATAGGGGTAAGATGTAAGACAGGATTTAGTCATACAATAAAAACTGCACAGGAAAATAACAGTAGCCACCCAAGCTCTGCCTTAGTCTAATCTACTCAAAATCACTCTTACTTCTGTATTTTTAAACTGTATGCACAATTAGCTCAAGCTGTTTCCTCTCAGTGGAGAAAGATATTTTCACAGACAAAATGGATAACTTTTTTTAGGAAGGAGGACTCCAAGCACATCCACCAGAAACCTGAAAATGTACTTACTGATTCCTTGAAAGAGTTCCTCAATATTAACTGCATTCTTTGCACTGGTTTCAACAACAATTGCACCTATAGTTTCTGCATATTCTTTGGCATCCTTCATAGGTACCTCCCTGAGAAAAAAAAGTTTTAAAATTATACAAAGGATTATCAAAACAAATATATTTTTGAAAGCATTATTATGTTACATTGTTCCCAGGTTTCAGTTGCACAAGTCTTAATCCTTACCAAGTGGGCATGTTCTTTGCTTCAAAAATGATAAATCTGTTATAAATCCCACTCCTGCATTCATTGTAGTCCACATGAATTTAGCCATGTAATTCAAGATTGCAGTCCCAAGGTGTAAAAAAAAACCCCATTAAATAATTTGCAAATTAAGGGACACAAGGGGCCAAATCTCTCTCACGAGGTATTCTGAAGATAACAACCTAGATCCATAACATTAATTGATGTTTGCTCAAATAATCACATTGATCTTGGTTCTTGATTTCCCTCCAAATGCATATGCATTCTTAAAAACATATCATGATTGATAGGTTATAATGTACAGCACTGACCCAGCCATGGGTACTCCTAGGGGTCTTTCTTTAGTGCTGCTCAGCCCACTCTCTAGTTCCTTTGTCTCTCAAAGACTTACATCCAGGTGGGACTAAGTTACCTGTGTCAGCATGTCATAGAATAATCTCTTAATTTTTTCAGAGCAGAAATACCACCAGGAAGTTGGGTTGTTTTGGATTAATAGTGCCAACCTCTTACAATCAGATAAACTCAACAAATCTGAAACTTCCTCGCAATACAATAGCATAAAAAATAGATTATATACTCTGCCTAGACCCAAATGCTTTAGCATACTTATTTTATACAAAATAATGAATAATACATATTTTTGGCTTCTATGTAGGTCACTATGCTTAAAGCACCAATGCATCATTAAATTATTGATTTAAGGATTTCTGGGTCTGCCATCAAGACAAGGCTTTGAAAGCAAAAATTGAGGATTTCTGGGTCTGCCATCAAGACAAGGCTTTGAAAGCAAAAATTGTCATCAGCCACTCTATTTTCGCTTGCATCAGACCGATATGCATAGACATTAGAGGGAGCATCTGACTCTCTTGATTCAGTCTACAATCAGTATTTGTCCAAGGCCCACAAACAGGATATTTTTCTGGGTGTCATGAAAGGACACATGCCTCGCTGTTTGAAGTGAGCAGGACATCATGATGAATCCTGACAGAACATCTTGCTCCCCTTCCTGCTGCAAGAGGAGAGGAAATAGGGGACAGGAGCTCACTGGGCACTTCAGTGTACTTCACAGTCCCCTGTCTTCATGCCTGTGAAGAACCTTAACTTTTTCTACCAGTATAACACAGACCCCTTGCTGATCTAAATTCTGTGGGCCAGGTGGCAGAGAGGTGGGAGGGACTGCAACTGATTGTGACCACCACTGTTGATAGCTGCCACCCCACCTCACCAAAGCTCAGAAAGTGCTGAGATAGGCCTAAATGCCTACGTACACAGTAAAAGTACAGTTTTGAGACCAAGTCATGAAACAAAGCATTTTTCCTTGCAGTGTTTCAATGCAGCCACCAATCTGTTCTATGTGGAATAGATCTGCCCTGCCACCAGCAGCATCTGCCCCAACACTTGCCCACAAGAAAGTCCTAAAGTAGCTATGTGACCCCTTGTATAACCTCCCCAGCCTGGTGCACTGTAGTTTAACAGCAGGTGCAAAGCTGAAAGCACAACCATATAATTTTGTTTTTATCATGAGTTTAGAAAGGTATCTGTATTTTAAATCAGAATACAGTTATTTCAGTAAAATGAGGAAGGGCATAGAGATGAAGTAGTTTTAATTCTGATGTATGTTTGGTTTCCAACAGTAAGGGTTTGCAGTGCCAATCTTTTGATCCAGTCGCTGTTTCCAGTATTTACTTCTTTCTTGAATAACGCTCAATATATGTAATCTACTTCAGAAGGAATAACTGCAGAAGCCAGGCATCCTCTCCTTATGCAATCCTGAGCTGGCTCATGAGCATTTTTCTCTTAAGATCTATAACCTGGTATCATCTCTTAACTTTTTTACGTAAACTTGTAAACTAGGAGGATTAAAGAACTCTCAAAAATAGGACTGGCTAGTGAAGACTTCAACTTTCTGTATGCTGGTAAAAAAACCCCAAACAAATAAACAAACAACAAAAAAACAATCTATCTTCAAGACTGGAGATAAGGGGTGGGAACGTATTGTTTGGCAATATGCATAGGAAGCTCTGTAAAACTTACTAGCTCCTTCCAAAGGGCAGAAGACAAGATGGTGGCTGCTCCCTTGTCCTTCCTCCTCCTTCCAAGGCCTCTTTGCCAATCAACATAGAGGGGTGGAGCAGCACAAAGGGCAGCCAGCAATCAAGATGGTGGCTGTCCCCTCATCCCTCCCTGCCCATGGCCTCTCTGACAATCAGTGCCAAGGGGCAGGCCTGCCACAAAATGCCTGCAAAATCAGTTCTGTGCACTACAAGCAGGTGGTGAAAAACCCTTTGTCTCACCATGATTTAAGTAGTTCCCTATGTATAGACAGCACCTTATTCATGTTTGCCTGTACCAGGTACATTTTTAAAATCCCTGAACACTTAAGTTAGTGGTTCTTAACCATTTTACACTCAAGGCAGTCCTTAGAAGATGTCACTAAGGATTCTTATTTGAAATCCCTGGGTTTATTTTGTGAATCACATGTCAGTGTCTGCACATTCAACAGTGTTAATATTTCATTGTAACCTGCAGCACTCTTTAAAGGATCTCATAGCATACTAGGGTGCTGTGACATCCTGCTTGAGACTCACTGACATAAGTTCCCATTCAGTGTAATCAATGCAGTAAGCTGATGATATCTCTCTCTTCTAAAATCATTTATACTGAGCAAACATTAAGACAAAGTATCAGAAGCATCCAAGCTGCATACATTGTCTAATTCAGTGTTTCCCAACCAGTGTGCCACGGCACAAAAGCATGCCGTCAGAAATTAACAGGTGTGCCATGGAATTATCCCATGGCAATGAGGTACAATAGATATGAGGATGGGGAATGCCATAACAGGTGTACCGCAAAAAATGTTTATTAATGTAAGTGTGCCTTGGGCTGGAAAAGGTTGGGAAACACTGGTCTAAATCAATCAGATTTTTAAAAGTAGGAAAATAATTATACATGTATAATGTATCTTGCCCTTCTTCAGTCTCCAAAACCCCATTTGTTTTATTATTATTATTATTATTATATTGTATAATTAATAGATCAGTGTATGCAAAAAAATCTCTACCTGTAACAAAAGAATCTCAAAACATTTGTGGTCATTGGTAAGGTCAGCAGCCAGAGCTTGAGACTAAGACATTTTCTCAAATTTCTCTTGTTGCACAAGTGCAGGAATAGTCACCATATAAAGTTATATTTGGAAAAGAAGCACTCAATAGTTCACTATCACGTATGGCACCAAACTCATTCAGATCAATAAAACACTGCATTATAGTTTAACAGAATACCTTCATTTGTAAAAAGTACAATGTGTATCTGAATCAAATTTGCAATTCTTGTTTTAATCAAGCAAATGTATTGTTAAAAACAAAACCAATAAATGTAAATGAGTCCAAGATGGAAACTGGAAACGATCAAAAGTTCCACTTTGAATTAGCTAGAAAGACTATAAATGGCCCACTTTTTTCTTTCCCTTTAAGAAGCAACTTGTTGCTTTCTGATATTCATGTTAATAAGTCAGAAGCCTTTTCTCTAAGTTTATGAGACTCACTCAGTCTGACTGTCTTGGCAGAAGTACAGTATACTGCCATGCAGGGGACCCAAGCTAGCATGCTAGCTGTGCCCTTCACTCCTAAGCCAATAGAAGCTGGGAGCACTGCAGAGACCAAACAGTCAGCCCCTAAGAACTGGGAACACCTCATGATTCTGTGCCGTAATTCCTCTAGCTGGCTCAGAAATAACAGTGAAAGCGAACAATCTTTAAAAATGTCTTGATTCAGCAAAGTACTGTATCACATGCTTCAACTTAAGTATGTGCTCCAGTGTTCTGCTGTATCAGGGTCAAAGTAAAGACCTTAAGGGACAGAAGAATAAATGTGAAACATGATCAGGGGAGTCCACGGGGTTCTAAGAGAAAAAATATGCTGAAAGATCATAGATCCTGTTCTCATACAGCTCACAGGAAAAAAAAAAGACATAGACAACAATATTCGCTCCTGAAACAATGAAAGAATTATTGAGTGCCACAAAGGATTACTTATGGTACTCAGCCTGACATGATTCCCCTCGCTGCTAGGCTACGTGCAAATCCAAAGAGGAGCTGACGAATATGAAGGTGAACCTAATCTGTGAACATGCTATGAATAGCATCTTGGCTCTCTTACAGAGCAATAAAGTCCGACCTCCCCTCATTTTCTCAAGGAGGGTCTTCTCTTCATCTCAAGTCTGGGACACAAGTCTGCTATTTGAGACTAGAGAGAGATCTTATGTTCTTGCAAATGTACTTTCTGGAATGAGGCTGTCCTTTTGCATCCAGCATTAACTCTTCATTTGATTAGAACACAGCAGCCTTCACATGCCAAGATCAACTGGACATTTCTGAGCTATGAGAGGCACACAATGGCACTGGTTACAGTGGAGCAGAATGAACATCTTGCACTATTTCAAACAGCACAGTGTTCCAAGCATAATTTCATTAACAGTAAAGCTGTTCTTTGAATGAAATTAATATTTCAATTTCATTTCTCTATCCTTACCTTGCTAGTTTCAGTCATGGTTAAAGACATTCCACACCTCTTAATATGAACGAAAAATGAATATGCAGATAAAAAAGCTACAGGTATCATTGATTCAGCTACTACAATGTCTGCAGTATCCAAGGAAATGCTATATGGTACCTGGCAGTTCCAATCAAACCACCAAAACCACAGAGGATATGCAGCAAAAATGGGAGGTCAAAACAAAATATGGTGGACAGTGAGATACTACTGCTGTTAGACAGGATAAGCCTGCATCATTGAAAAAAAAAGTATTGAGAATCACAGAAAAACACGGCTAAATGAGATCTCAAGGAATCATCTACTCCGGTAGTTTTCAATCTTTTTTCATTTGCGGTCCCCTAAAAAATTTGAATTGAGGTCCAGCCCCTTTGGATTGTAAGTGTTTGTATTCACATACTTTTGATTCATCAGTCATCTTTTGCGGACTCCTTAGACATAGTCTGTGGACCAGCAAGAGTCCACAGACCACAGGTTGAAAACCACTGCTAGTTCAACCTACTGCTCAACATAGGATTATCCCTGTCTAAACTACCCCAAATAAAGGCTTGTCTATGCTACATCCAAAAAACTTCCAATTACATATTTGTCAACTTTCTAGGTTAGTAGCACTCAACCTTCTGGCCCTGTGGACTACAGTAATGGTGTGGGGTCCTGTTCCTCTGGGCTGGATGATTGGCGTGGGGGTCAGTCCACAGGTCTGATCCTGCATGGGGGTAAGTCTGTGGGACCTTATGTTGGGCAATCTGGCATAGAGAGCCATGTTATTCAGTCTGTGAAACACCCCACAGGTCTGAAGAACTGGAAGTATTAGAGCGGCAATTAATGCTGCCATTGCTTCCCTGCCACCAAATTACCAGACACTTGGGGAGCCTCACATGCCAGATGACATGGCTTTACTGTCCAGGGGGTTGAGCATTCCTGCTCTGGGTAATCTGTTCCACTGCTCACAGAGGGTGGCTAAACCTATTTAAATGTTCTTTGTTGCAATTTAAGCCCATTACTTCTTGTGGACAGAGAGAACAATTAATTACCATTCTCTTTATAAAACCTCTTTTTTTTGTGTTTGAAGATGATTACCAAATCTGCCCTCAAGCTTTTCTTCTCTAGACTACATAATCCAAATTCTTCAAACCTTCTCTCATATGTCCTGTTTTCCAGACCTCTAATTCTTTTTATTGGCCTCTTATGGATTCTTTCCAGTTTGTCCCTCTCAAAGTGCAGTATCCCAAACTGAACAGAGTACTCTAGCAGATTTCATTAGGAGCAAAATAATATTTTAGGAGCAATCACAATACGAACCTGGCTGCTTGAGGAAAGTAAACAGTGTATACCAAAAACTAACATCTTGGTCATAAATGGATGTTACCTGATATCAGAAAGATCACATTTGTTTCCAGCGATGGCCATTACAATGTTTTCTGGACCATGTTCTTTTAATTCTTTTACCCACTTCTTCAAAGTATGAAATGAATCCTAAACCAAATACATAAAGAAATATCTAACAGAATCTCCATGTCTGAGATAACAAGTCATTCTTAGAAGTTATTGGAACACAGAAAACCTTTAAGAAACATTGATTCAGTAGATTAAAAGGCCAGAAAAGACCACTGTAATGATCTAATTGACCTCCCATCAAACACGGCCCACAGGACTTCCCGATGCTTGAACTGAGTTCTTAAAAAAAAATGTCAATCTTGATTCTAAATTTCCTGTCTCAGATAGTCCACAACCCTTGCTAAATTGTTCCAGTTGTTACTGATATCAGTTTTATCTTCTGATGACAAAGTGAAATTTTTCCTCCAGAAACCATTTGGGATATATTATATATCTCAAAAAGCTCTATAAAGGGACAACATTTGGGATATAATATACATTCCACTATAATATACAAATTTAAATATCAAACTTTAAAAGGATGAAATGTTGCCATTTTCCACACTAGTCCCACCCCTTTTTCTCCCTAAGACTGTTCTTCTGACAGGTGTTCCACAGGCATTCTGAATAAGGAAGACTGGATTAGGTTCTACCTGTACAATGCTTACAAATTTTCGGATCAATTACCAGCTGGTTAAATGAAAAATAAAAGCTATCTGATTTGATTTACTCTTCCTTCATACTTTCTCAGCATTTTAGTAAAGGATAACCCTACTTCTATGCAGCAGTAACCAGTGTCATCAGTGATTGTCCATTAAATTAATACATCAGAGAACTGAGCCAGCCCTGGACAGCAACAAGTAAATAATCAATTTGCAGGGGAGAAGAAAACTGTGAGTAAATGGGTCTTCTATAAGATCTGTAAGATTCTGCCCACAGATCTTCTGTAACTCAGTTTCATCTGCTGGGGTTTCTCTCAAAATCAAATTTCGTTTTGAAGACAAGAAATTTGCCATTGTGGTGGTGACAATGGAGTTAGAACCTCCACGGCAATGATGTCCAGATGGATGACAAAAAAATAGGAATACTTTACAAGCTGACAATACATTTTCATTTCAATTAATAATACTGAGCCAAAGGATAAAGATAAATAATTTAATTGCTTTTTTTCAAAGTACAGCAATCGCAAATGAGTTCAATTCTCAAGTGTCAATTCAAAATCATGATCATATTTAAAAGTCATTCATTCCCAGTTTGTAAAATATGGATAACTGATATTTTGTTATATTAATCCATCAATTAACCGATTTCTTAATAAGTATTTAGTTTCATGTAAGTCCTATTATACTTTACAGGTGGTCATGGTTTCCATCTTAAGAGATGTAAATTCTGAATTGTTTCCTGCAGCAAAAGCTCCAGTTTTGCCTGTCTATTTTTAAGTGTCACAGGAATGAAGCTTCTCTCAAAGCTCCAAATTTTTTTAAGGTAACTAACTTTAAAAATCTGGTGCGCAGTCATTAATCAAAGTATGTACTATAGAGGAATTATGAACAGAAAGCATTACCTGTTTGGTGATGTCATATACTATAACAGCTGCAGCTGAACCTCGGTAGTACATTGGCGCCAAGGAATGAAACTGTTAAAACACCAAAAAATCTCCATAAACCAACTGAAGTTATTGCACATTGCCAGGTCGCAAAGATATGGCACAACTGCATCATACTCTTTCCTCCAACAGAGAGCAAGCTTCTTGATATCTGCCCATTTTTAAATCAGTGAAACCAGTGAAAAGGAAACACCCATGATCCTTTGCTATTCTTTATTCTACTTGACTAAGATAATTATTCCTTGGTAATTCCGTACGTTTTTTCTCAGTATGTTTTGTGACAAAAAAAGTTTTCTGGTGAAATTCACCCAAAATCGAAGATTTAACTTGGTTTTAAATACTGTCTGTGTCTTATATTCGCACTGTACAAAAATGTGAATTCCAGCTATGGCCACCATATACAACCTGAGACTGAATGCACATAAAAAATCTGGAAGTCATTTATAAAAATCATAACAAATGAAAAGTTTTAGTTTATTATTACACTGTAAATTTGTGACATGTAGTTATCCTGTATGATAATTATCTCTATGAAACAGGTTCTTTAAAATTAATTTTTTTACACTACAACTTTAAATTTCAAGAGATCTTTTTAAAGGATAATTATTGTTACTAGAAAACTGCTTTCCAAAAAGGAGCAGCAGTTTTGTTCATTTAAATGACAAAACATGAAATCGCTGGTGTAAAATGTTAGCTTGTGATAGCACAAGCAAAGGAAATTAATAGGCCATTTGCTGAATCACCAAAACTGATTCTTGAATGTAACTAAAATAATCTACTTACAAAATATTTGCAGTCTTTTTAATCTCCTTGCAACTACAGCATCCTCTTGGAAACTTCTGTTCATTCATTTTCCCAGTACATATTTTTACATGCAAGTAAAACAGCATTAGTTTTCTTTCATTATCAGCTTTCACTATGGTAAAGAGCAGGAAACCTGCTTTCATGTCTGGCTGGAAAATTTGCAAAGTTAGTACACTAGCAAAGTTGTACACAGTGCTTTAAAAACACATCAGAAGACAAAAGGGTCCTGTACCATGTCCCATGCTTTACATCCATGAAGAACCAGTACAGAATAACCATAAAATGCTCCTACCCTGATCTGGTCATTTGACATCTACTTTGCATGTAACCACCTACACAAGGCTCAAACCAGTGCAGGCTCATGCTCATCCTCAGGCTCAAATTTTCTGCCCCAAAGAATTCCTGACCTGATACAACATGTGACCCTGATCCTACAACTGAACCTTCTCATGCTTGTCCACTGCAGCAGCAAGGTCCAAATTACAGGTGATCCACCAGTACAGGGATACCAGGAGCTTAGTGATAACAAGATGAGGAAAACAAATGAGGTTCAAGGAATAATTTGAAGGCAGAATTAACCCAACTGTTTCACCTTTTAACACTCAGGGCACAAAACAGGAAGACACTACCAAAGATAGGGAATGGATAAAAGAACACCATGAAGCTGAGTAATAGAAGATACTGTAAGATGCAAACCATGAAGTTTACGCTGTTCTCCAAAAGAACAGCACATAAATTGCAGTGACTAACTGAGGACAATTTCAAAATCAATGTGCTTTTGTGATCAATTGGTGGTTATGCCCAATCCAAAATTACCTACAGCATCAAACATTCTACCCTTCTACAGTTTTGCCACTGAAATTCTATTTCCAAACTGAGCATATACACAAGCAGTGGTGTCTTTCAGTGTCTATAGCAAGGGAAGGCAAAATATGGCCCACAGGCCAGATCTGACACACCAGGAGACTTCATCCAGCCCACAGGCAGGTGCCTGTGGCTGCCCCTTCTGCTCTTGCATAGGTCCAAACCCCATCCATTCCCACCCAGGCAGCACGCTGTATTCCCACCCTTGTATGTGGGAGGGCCCCAGCCCTGGCCCTGGCCCAGGCCCAGGTCCAGGCCAGAACTCAGCTTTCGGGCAAGCTGCTGCTGCCACTGCTGCAGCCACTCAGGGAACTGCTCGGCTTCCCTTGCTTCCAGCAGCTCCTCCTCATGTCCCTGCTGCAGCCCTCCAGGCAGGAGATAGGGAAATGGCAACAGGCAGGGAGAAGCATCAGCTGGACAGAAGCGTGAAGCACAGGCCCCATGGCCGGGGCGGGGGGAGCATGAAGCCCAGGTCAGCCCTCTTCCATTACATGGGGCTCCCCATGACTCATGTGCAGCTCCCAGGATTTGTGCACCACTGGGGGAAGCCCCACATGATGATGCTGGCAGCCTTCCCCACTTCCTGCTGCCACATGCAGCTCCCAGGACTCCGCCAGAAGTGTCAGGGAGCCCAGCTGGCTCAGTACACGGTGGCAGGAAACAGGGCCAGCCTGCCATCTCCATCATGCTGGACTCCCTCCCCAACAGCATGAAGCTCTGGCTGGGTCCTGGGAGCTGCACATGAGATGAGTCCTATGCAACGAAGCCAGGCCGGCCTGGCCCCACTCCCTGTTGCCACATGCATCTCCCAGAACTAGCTGGAGCTGCAGGCCACCAGACAACTCTGCCTGCACAGGCCATGGGTGCCCCATGGGCAGCAGCAGAGGCTGTGTGCCACGGGGGTGAGCCTGGGGGGGCTCCCACACACACATGGGTTCTTTCTGGTTCCAAGGTAGCAAATACCCCCTCCCAAAAGGAGTATTTCCAAGGGTTCCTGGGGGGACTTCCTGTGGCAAACGTAGGGGGTTAGGGGCAGGACTTCTGGTCCCAAGATGGTGACCAGGGGGCAGAGCACCTGTCAAAGGGCATGGCTACCCTTGCACCCTTTGACAGCTCACCAAACAGGGGTGACATGTATGGGGTGCACATGCACCCCCTGAGCGTGGCAGTGCACCCCCTACAAAAAGGTGCTACTGACACCGTCAGTGGCGCCTGCAGGTGGTCACTGCTCACCACCCTGCTGCCGTCTACGGGCGGTCCGCAATCCCTGCTGGCTGCCACTGCAGGCGACAGCTGCGGGTGGTCGCTGACTCTTAGTTGGTGCTCGCCACCCCCTGCCACTGACAGCACCAGCGGTGGCTGCGGGAGCTCCCCCGCTTACTGCTGCCACACTCTCGCCACTGCCACCATGCCCCACCAGCTGCTGGGAGGCACGAGTCGTTCATGTCACCAAAACTCATTAAATGACCTTCCAGATGAAATAATTGCCCACGCTTTGTCTATAGGCAGCCTAAGACAATTATTCTAAAATGTGTGGACTCCTTTCCCCATCATTTCCACAGGATACTAATTCTGATATATGAAGGCAAATCTCAATTCTATCATAATTATCTTACTCCAAACCACTTTATCCAGCTATTCTGTGTAAATCACAACCCCAAACCAGTTCTTCACCCCTTCTCATGTGCACAGGGGCCAACTTTGGTGCTGTTCCATGTGTAGCACTTTAAGCAAGTTAATTTCAAATATGCAAATGAGCTCAGATAATAAAACTTCAGTTTCAAGCCCAAAACCTCTGGAGATGCATATAACTTGGTAACTTCAACAGACAGTTGGGTGCTAAAGTGTGTCTGTGGAATATACGGATGCTTGGTAGGGGATGCAAACCTTGGGAGGAAGGTGGAAGAAGGAGAAACTTAGTGACTGAAGAAAAAAAAAAAGTCATAGAATTAAAGGACTTGAATGAACCTGCAAGATCTTCAAGAATGGTCCCCTGCCATGGAGGAGGTTATTGGGCTCAAATGAGCTCAATGAGGTGTTTATCCAGCCTACTCTTGAACACCTACAAGGATGGCAACTGCACAGCCTCTGCTGGGAGCATGTTCCAAATTCTAGTTACCCATAAGGAAAAGTTTTTCCTTATGTCCAGCCTAAATTTTCCCTCAATTAGCTTGTGCCCATTGGCCCTCGTCCTCCCAATGGGTGCCTTCCTCAAGAGTTGCTCCCCTAGATCTTGGTGTTCACCCCTAATGTACTTGTAGGCAGCTATCAAGTCACTTCTCAGTCTTCTGCTTACTCAGACTGAACAGGTCCAGTTCATAGTATCATAGTATCATAGTATCATAGTGCTTAGGGTCAGAAGGGACCTAAACAGATCATCAGGTCCGACTCCCTACCCCCCCGGCCAGAATGGGTGCCGGGGTCATATCACCCCAGCCAAATAACTGTTCAGCCTCCTCCTGAAGACCTCCAAGGTAGGAGAGAGTACCACCTCACTTTGGAGCCCATTCCAGAGCCTGGCAGCCCTAACTGTAAAGTAATGTCTCCTGATGTCCAGCCTGAACCTTCTCTCTAACAATTTGTGGCCGTTATTCCTAGTAACCCTGGGTATTCCTGGAGTCTCTCCTCATAGGGCCTATCCTCAAGGCCCCTATTCATATGGGTGGTCCATCTCTGTACCTGCTCAAGCTTATCCACATCCTTCCTGAAGTGTGGTGCCCAGAACTGGACACAGTACTCCAACTGTGGCCTCACCAATGCCAAATAGAGAGGGAGAAGCACCTCCCTCAAGCTATTGGCCACACATCAGCTGATGCACGCCAGAGTTCTATTTGCCCTGCTGGTGACTTCATCGCACTGTTGGCTCATGTTCATCTTCTGGTCCTCTGTGACCCCCAGGTCCTGTTCAGATGGTATGCCAGCCAGCGGACTACCACCAATAGTATAGTTATGGTGAAGGTTCTTCCTACCCAGGTGAAGAACCCAGCACTTTTTCCTGTTAAACTTCATCTGATTGTGTTCAGCTCATAAAACCAGTCTGTCAAGGTCATCCTGGATCCTTACCCTATGCTTTGATGTGCCCACATTTCCCCACAGCTTGGTATCATCTGCAAACTAAATTATTGAGCTTTCCACCCCCTCATCCAAGTAATTGATAAATATGTTAAAGAGCACGGGTCCAAGCACCAATCCCTGGGGGACAAGATGGCCCTCCAGGATGAGGCCATCCCATCGATTACAACTCTCTGGGATCAGCCTCTAAGCCAGTTGTCCACCCACCTCACTGTAGCCTGGTCTAGGCCAATGCCCTCCAGTTTAATTGAGAGAATTTCATGGGAAACAGAATCAAAGGCTTTATTGGA